ATTGAGCATCTTTCCTCTGTCACATCTTTCTACCATGATATGCTGCCTCACCTCAGGCTCAGAGCAATGGAGCCAAATGAGATTAGACTAATATCTCCCAAATAATGAGCCAACTAAACCTCCTTCACTAAGGAGGTCTCATCAGCTCTTTGTTACAGCAATGAAAACAAAATTGTTAACGAGAATCAGGGTTGTTCCTGTAATTATACCTGACCATGTGATTCAAAAGACTTCGACACTGGTTTGTGGAATAAGTTTGTATAGGATTAGAGATGCAGGCTAGAGAAGCCTTAAAATGTTGTAAACTAAGCTTAATAGGCATTGCTAATAAAAGCTAGAAGACCAGAATGCAGATATAAATGTGGGCAATAATAACTGAACTTAAAAAATTTCTGTTGGAAAAGACAACTCTACTGGAGTTAGATTGGAGGCCATTCTTATTGTGTTCTGGCAAAGAATTTTGTAGTTTGTCAATGCCCTAAGACTATGTGTGAGGCAGAATTTAAAGGTGATAAAATTAAATTAAAAAACTAATTAAACTAGTGGAGGAAATTTTAGGGCACAACAGCATTTAGACAGTGGCATGAGGATTAAATTACTGGTGACTTTTAGCGAGGTTTACTAAGATACTCAGGATTAAAGAGCAGAGAATAAAGATTTGAAAATTTGCAATTGGGCCAGAAAAGGATAATGTTAAAAGTTAGGGATAACGCGGGTGAATAGATTAGCACAATTAAAAAGAGCCCAATATTTTGCAAGGACAAGAGAAAAGATGCCTTGAAGGGCATCTCTGGCCAGTCCCTGATATCCCACCTATCACACACTGGGGGTGTAACACTTGCAAATACTTTGACAGACTTTGCTTTAAGAAGAGAAAAATGGATGAATTGCTCTCATAGGGACACTTAAGAACTTGTTTCCCAGGATTTGTTTCACAATGCTCAGCTTCACTCAGAGGCCACTGCAGTCATGGACCAAAGGGGCCTATCTACTGCTCCTGCTGATGATAGACTTTGGCTTTGTCCATGTGCAGCTATTTTTCAGAAATGTAGGATGCTAGAGTTATGAGGTGTTGGGTTAAACACTAATCAGTGCCTAGGAAAGCTTGTAGTGATATAAAAAGGATTCTAAACAATGTAATATTGAAGAAAGTAGCAAAAGGTTTGCTAGTGACTTCACTTATCTCCAATATTTAGGCAAGTATCATAGCAGAGAAATATAATGGAAGACATACTGGTAATGGTCCAAAAGTTATTAAAGACCCAGCAGAAGCATATTGAGGGGGCTGATGCAGATCTGCTCTCTGCTCCAGAGAGATATTTACATATGACCGTGAAATTGTATGTCCCTGGAGAACTGGTTGAATTGGGGTCCAAGTTCAGGCATAAAACAAAAGAAACCATAATAGCATTGCAACTGTGCCTGTGCGACAATGGACCAGATGGAATAATGCTGATTGGTATACAATTGACTAAAGTGGTTTAAGTAACAGCTCACCCTGCTTCTTGTCAGTGACTACTGTCTACCACCACAGGTATAAAAATGTGGGGTTACTACTGCTTCAAATATGAGGTCTCCCCAAAAGTTCACATGTAAAAAAAATATTTCAGAGTGAAATTACTAGTTTATGAGACGTATGACCTCTGATATGGATTAATTTGGCAACAAACTCTAGGCAGATAGGATGTGAGTGCAGGAAGCTGGTCACTGGGGGTAAACCTTGGGAACATTTTGTCCCTGGTGCAAGGAGCTTTCTCTCTCTGCTTCCATATTGCCATGTTCTGAGCTGCTTCCCTCTGACATGCCCTTTAGCCATGGGACTCACCTCGGGACTAAAGCTATGGAGTTAGCTGACCATGCACTGAAAATCTGAAAACATGAGCCAAAATAAACTTTTCCTCTTTTACACTTGTCACAGTAGCAAAATTTAACTAAAACTACTAGCTGGGCTGCTTGTTGCCACTCACAATACCTGAGTAAATTTAGGTAAAATTCCTACATCTAATGATACCCAGGCCTCTGTGGAAAGAGTGAATAGCTATTTATAGAAACAAGACATGAAATATGCTATTTCTGTGCAGCCTTGCCCAGGACTGCATAATACAACTTTTACTGCTGGGATGAAGGACACATTCATTCATGTATTGATACATTCATCCATGTAGACTGTCAAAGGAAGTCTGTTTCGTGTTTGGGCAGTTACAGCCACGAATCAACTGCTAGAGGAGGTCAACAAGTCCACATTGGGGAAACTCATTACCATTTATGTACCCATCATGTACTAACTATGCTAGATCAGAAAGGAAGCTATCACATAATACTGGAAGGAAAGGAAGTTATCACACCATTCTCATGGACTATCCCAATTTAAAGACACACACTTTGTATATACAGTAACACAGGGATGCCACAACATGGTTGAGGAAGGTATTATTTAAGCAGCCATATTTGGTGAATGAGTTTTTGGAAAACCCAGACAGAGTTATGATATGATGTGATATGATGTGATATGATATGATATGATATGATATGATATGATATGATGAAATCATCACACAGGATGAAACAAGATCCACCAAGAGCCATTGATGATTCAGACAGGAAAAAGATCAAAAGGGACTTCTCCTTCCAAACTGTAGATAATCTGAAGCTGATATTTAAGAGAGAAACAGAGTCCACAGAAAATATGCAAAATTCTACCAAAATGATAGGGATCACTGGGATAGGAAGAGTTTTAATTGCCTTTGTATTCTTAGGGAAGGGGAGCATGGGAGGAATAGATGAACTCTAGATAGGGCAGAGGGGTGGGAGGGGAAAGGAGGGGGTAGGGGTTAGCAAAGATGGTGGAATGTGATGGACATCATTATCCAAAGTACATGTATGAAGACACAAATTGGTGTGAACATACTTTAAATACAACCAGATATATGAAAAATTGTGCTGTTATGTGTGTAATAAGAATTGCAATGTATTCTGCTGTCATTTATTTTTTTAAAAGTCAATTAAAATACTAAATACTAAGTAATACTATTACTAACTCTCACCACAACTTGAATTTAACTGATTAATCTATAATGAACACTTCTCAGAAAACCAGGCCACGGGAAAAAATTACTCCTTTCACATGACCCTTATCCCAGATGTAGTCCCTAAGCAAACCTAAGTTAAAGGAATCAAGGATAAAATATTTGAAAGTGTTACCTAAAAATTTGAAAGTGTTACCTAACAATCATAGATACAAGGATGGACATTTCTGGATTTGGGATAAATATGAATGCTTTATGCCAATTTCAGGCCCACTGAGTCAAAACTGTTCCACTCTGTTCAGAAAAGAAATCAATCATATGACCAATGGCCAAGTTTCAAATACTTTCTGAGACAAATTTCAGAACAAACTTGCCACCACATTACAATTTTACAAGAAAATGTCTGGTTTGCAACATGCTGGACATGGAGACTGGGAGATGCCGGACACCAAATGGAACTGAATGGTCACATGGCACCAACCTGTGGCTATGGTTTCCCCAAGATGCTTGAAGATGACTATGATGTATCAGTGGGTGAAGGGATAATAAAGATATTAAGTCGACTTGCTAATTATGCAAATCTTTGCCACAAGTGGGTTTTCATCTATATTTTCTGGTATGATCACCTATCATGGATCTCTGATTCCCTAATATCAAAAAGCATTAGACATTCTCATGGGAACCCAAGGGGGAACTTGTACTATCATAAAAGCTACATGTATATCCCTGAAAGTCCAGGAAATGACTTTCTGAATCTATAAAAGCAGTCCAGGAGGAGGCCATGATTGATGATTCAGAACTCAAACTAAATGCATGGTTATCATCTTGACTGGGTGACTACATGATGGCAAAATTTAGTCATGTATCTAATAAGTCTTATATGCACAGGATTATTCTTATCCTATGGGATTTATTTTTGCCGAGGAATAATGTCTTTATTACAAGACCCAATGAAATTACACTAGAATGAAAAAATTAAAAAATAAGTGGAAATTACACAAATTCATTATGATAAAATAACCAATTTTAAATACTATGTTAATCATGAAGAAAATTCTGCTGGGCATGGTGATGCACACCTTTAATCCCAGGGTCTTAGGAAGCTGAGGGCAGAGGATCAAAAGTTCAAAGCCGGTATCAGCACTTCAGGGAAATCATGAGCAACTTAATGAGATTTTGTCTCAAAAAAAAAAAATTAAAAATGAGCTGGGGATTGGCTCAGTGATTAAGAGGTGCTGGGCTCAATCCCTGACACCAAAACAACAACAAAAAACTCTCAAATACTTTGAATTAAGTGAATTCAATGACAATTAAATGAAACTTTATCAAAAATTGTGGAATGCAAGAAAAGCAGAGCTTAGAGGAAAATGTATGAAACCAAATGCATGTCTCATAAAATATGAAAGATCTAAAACCAATCATCTGAATTTTTACCTTGGATCCTAGAAAAAGATGAATAAACTAAAATCCAACATATGTAGAGAATGACATAATATTGCAAAGAATATAAAAGAAAGAAAACAATTTTCAAATGACTTAAAACTTAATATTTTGCAGAATATGAATGCATCCAAAATTATCAAAAAAATATATCACTCCCAAAAATCAGTGCAAATAAAATAATATTAATTCAGGGAAATTTCTTTTGCTTACTAAGGTGGTGAACAGTTAACTGTGAATAATCTTCCTAAAAGAAACTTAGGTAAATAGCTAGTGGTACATCCATAATGTAACAAAGTACATGCAATAAAAACTAAATTCAAAACAAATGCTGTCCTCTGAGACACAAGAGAGAATTATGAGGTTTCTGTGAGTATATCACAGAATATGGAAGAGGACATGCAGGCACAGGTGAATACGTATGTGTGTGTAATACTGAAATGTTCCTTCAAGACCTTCTCAGTGATCCATATTACCTATTGCTAGAGCTTACCTGGCATGCCTGATCCTGCTCACCTGACCTTTGTCATTTACCTGTGATCCCTTCTCTTGGGTCACTGGAAAAATTGCTGTACATGCAGATTGGCACTTTTGTACTCTTTGTTTCTTCATTCCAGAGTAACATGGTGGTGAATGTAATAAGCTTTGGAAAAAAAATTGGGTTCTATAAGTAACTTAGTAAAAGACAGTTATTCTGCACAAACATAATCAATTTTTAAAAAGATTGCTCAAAACTGATACATGCACATTTAAGGAAATTAATCGCAAGAAATGTTATTATTCATTATTAATTCAGTAATCATTATTCTTAATATTAACTAATTTTCACAGAGTGATGTAGAGTATTGAATAACCAACAGGAAATAACCCCTCCAAATTCACATATAACACAACATCATTTCTAGCTAGAGATCTAGACCTAAATTTTAAAACAATATAATACAGTATTTAGTATGTAATTTAGCAAAATATATGCATGACTTTGGGGTAGTGATCATTATTACACTAAAATTAAGAAGTAACCACATTCAAGAACAATTATCAAACATACTCAGTGTGAGCAAAGACCAGACACAGACTGAAGTAAACTCCTTTTCTTTCTTGTAGGGGTTTTACTGACATTTAGAAGTACACAATTCAATAGAGTGACAGTTTTCTCTAATTGCAAGATGTTTCATTTGAATCAATTGAAAAATGCATTTTATTCAAAATGAAAGAGTAAAACTTTTTAAACTGACAAATAACTTTTATAACTTTGATTTTTTTTTTTTACAATATTGGGAATTAAGGGCTGGAGAATGGCTCAGTAGTAAAGTAGTTGCCTAGCATGTGTGAGACCCTGAATTCAATCCCTAGCACCTTCAAAACAAAAAACAAAACAAAAACTCAGGGTGCTCTCCCACTGAAATATATTCCAAGTCCTTTTCTATCTTTTTAATATTGAGACAGGGTTTAACTTCCCCAGGTGGCCTTAAACTTGTGATACTCCTCTCTCATTCTCCCAAGTTGCTGAAATTATATACATGCACCATAATGCCCAGGTATCTTAGAACTTTTATCTCAAATTTATTGAAAATAACCCTTTTGAGCTTACGGTAATGTAGATATTTATCTTGAATCACTCCTATGTTTACCTGAGATGGAAAAAAACACACATATTGATCATATTATTATACATTATATTAATAAAGGTATTATAATATCCTTTCATTGAGATAAAACTCTCCTGAATCACATTTTAACTCATCTTACCAATGATGTTGCCCATCTTATCATTCTTTCTGTTAATCAGAATCACTGGTGATTGGGCATTTCTTGAGAGGCTTGTTTCTTTCCAATCTATAGAAACCACTTCTGCAAGGTATGATGTTACAGTATAATCAGAAGTTGACAAGGTGTGTGTGTGTGTGTGTGTGTGCATGTGTGTGCGTGTGTGCGTGTGTGCGTGTGTGCATGTGTGTGTGTGTGTAGCAATTAGATAAAGATGATTTATAATTTATTTTTTTAAAAAATAAGTTTCAGCCCAAATTCATGTGTGTGCACAAAGCACAATCACAACATGTGAGACATGCATTCTAGCCAACAGTGTTTCTATATTGTCGATTTCAAGATATCTATATTGGAAATATCTATATTAGAAAGAATTTGACATGTACCTGGTAGGATTGATGGAATACTTCACTTTCTCTGTGACTGACCATTTCTCATGATTCTAGGCTTTATGATGTCTCATCTGCCATATTATCAATTACTGAGAAAATATTCTAAAATATAATTTCATGTAAGTTGACCAACTCCATTTACCTTTCATCTGGAAATAAAGACAGAGTTATTAGTGAATTACTAGAATTTCCTATTTAAATATAGTCAATGCTAATAATATTGTTTTTTCATCCATTTTGAATACATATATAACTTGGTCATATCAGAAATTTAGTTTAGTCATCCATGAAACAGATTATAGTTGTCTTCCTCCTCCACTAAGGAGCTTGGAGAAAAAAATGAACTACAAACTATTTCACATAAGAATAAAACAAATTTCTAGTATAAGCTTATAGTAATATAGATATTTATCTTATATCACTCTATACAACCACCTCATGGTGACCACTTCCTGGGGACATGTTAGATGTTGTACTTTACTGGTTTGCTGGCTCCCATTCCCCACATGGATGATGAGAGATCCCAACGACCCCTTCTCATACACAGGGTGACTCCACATAAAATGTGCTTGCTTCCTGGAAATCACCAATTAAGACTCTCCCTGAGAAACCTGCTCAGGAAATATCCTGTGCCATATGAAGGTTATAGCTCACTGGTATCTTCTGTTTCTCTCTTTTCTCACTGCTCCTCTGTTTTGGGGGTAATATCTCACTTCTTGACATCTCACAGACTTTGTGGGACATGCTGTCTGTCCACTTCTCACTGAGATCTAGCAATGAATTATCTGTGTTGCCCCCTCTGTACTTCATGTTACCGACACCCTTAAAGTAACTGCTTTTCCAGGTAAGGCTCTCCTAGATAGTGTCTATTTTGGTTAGGAATAAAGTGAATATTGATTATACCAAAGCCAAAAGCATATCTCTTATATAAATAAGATTCCTCTGTGAATGAACCTTGACATGGGTGAGACATTGTGGCATAAGGTCATCCAGCAGAATAAAGAAGCACACCATCATATGGATTAGCTTTTATATCACTGTGACCAAAAGATGTATCAAGAAAAATTAAAAGAAGAAAGGTTTGTTTTGGCTAATGGCTTCAGAGGTTTAGTCCACAAATGGCTAACTCCATAGTTTGGGGCCCATGGTGAGGCAGAACATCAGGGTGAAAATGTGTGGCAGAAGAAAGCAGCCAGGACATCAGGACATGGAACAAGGAAGAAGAGAGAACAGGAGAGGGAGGGCAGAAGGTGGAGGGAGAGGGGAGAGAAACAAACAGAAAGTGCTCCCCTAACCTTGGATAAAAGGTGATGTCCCCCTCATCTAGCTCCTCCAGCCATACCCTACATTCCTACAGTTACCATTCAATTAATCCATCAGTAGATAGATATACTGATTAATGCTCCCATAACTTGATCATTGTAGACCTCTTCTCCTCCACTAAGGAGCTTGGGAGGAAGAAATGAACTACAAACTATTTCATGTATGAATAAAACAAATTTCCAGTGTAAGCTTATAGTAATGTAGAATATGAAAAATACTTCAGAACATTAGGGCACTGACTTACACATGAGGTTTTAGGGGACACCTCATATCTAAACTGCAACAACCATGAAAGACCCATTGTAAACACATAGGACCAAACTCAGACTAATCCAATCAGGCTAGGGTAGAGTTTATGGCCACTAGTGAGGAAACTAAAAAGCAAATTATAAATAAAAATATCTCAACATTATTTAATGCAAATCTAACAAACTATGGTTCAAAAAATCATCCAGAAGAAATATAGAATTGACAAATTTAATTATAACAGGGTTTTATAAAGGGCTTGAAGGCAAGTGTTGTCTTTTGAATTCTTGAGAAATAAAATCTGATTGAAAAATATATTTTCTAATTGTGAAACTATTTATGATCCCTGTTATTACTGACATTCATCTGAGCTTCTCATTTCCAGAAGTAAAAAATTGCACTCTTAAGAAACAACAACAACCACAAAAAAAAAAACAAGAAAAAAAATAAAACATTCCAGTGGGAATATCAGTGGGAAACTACAAGTACATTCCCTGGCAATAACAAGAAATAGAGCATTCTGAGAGTTGGGAAGATGGTAGAATTGAGCTAGCCAGCAAGTACTGAACTCCTCCCAACATAGAAAGGAAACAGCAAAGAAAAACCAGAATTGGCACATGTATGACAAAGTAAATGCTCCAAGACTCTAAAGTTGAAAACCTGGAGAGAGTGGAAGAAGATGAGGAGTAGAAAGCAAACTCAGAGTTTTTTTTTTTAACACCAAACCAAAACCTGGGGTTGAGAAGAGTGGCAGGGAGAACAGAAGGAGAAAGAGAGAAAGGGGGAAGCAGAATATCTCTTAAGATCACCCACTAAAAAAGAGTTGAAAAGACAGAATTTAAACCATGATGCTAACAGAATGGTCCTTAAAACAGCGCAAACAGCCTATATCCAAATTGTGAAAAGAAAACAGAGCCAGAGGTCTGCAGCCATCTAGTGGAGTCCTCAGCAGACTATTGACCTGCTGCATCACATATAGCCAACATTCATCTTTTCAGGCCCAGACACCTGCCAATTAAACCTGAGAAAACTCCCCGGTTGTGGGACTTCTTAAGAATCTAGTCAGAAAGAACTTCCAGAAGGACCACTACTACCCCCAAATCACCGAAACCCCCTCTCCTTTACCCTCACCACAAACAAAAAGAATAAATGGGCTGCTGGGGACATGTGCTAGGAAGTGCACCTAGCCCTGCTCTGCAATAAGACAAGGACAGAAAGCCCTGTGCAGTGTCTGCTTGCTCCATGATTAAAGCAAGTTGCTAAGCAACTCAGTGAGACCCTGTCTCAAAACAAAAAAAGCAAGCCAAGCCTTGGGATGTGGTTCAGTGGACAAGTCCCCTGAGTTCAATCCCCAGTACCACCTACCCCCCAAAAAGAATGTTCTTCCCCTAAAAGATCAATCATGTAAAAAATAGCATTATGTGATATCATGAAAGTCTCTGTCATTTTCTCAAGATTAGAAACACAAGATATTGTTTTAGTCAGAATTTTGTGTCACTTGCAACTAAAAAACTCCTTTGTATCCCCACACTTTTTCCTTCCTACTTTATTTTTATCTCATCTTCCCATTGAAATTAGTGCACTATCACTTATGCTTAATCTTTATAATCTATTCTATATTATTTCATACTCACATTTCTCCTTAGCCAATAGAATTGTAGAGACCATTAGTAATAATGTTTACAAAATGTTGATGTATGGTTTGCTCTGAAACTACCACTGCTACTGATAGTACTTTCTCTTCTCAAAGAGGTACTGGGAGTTGAAATGAATACTTCGATTATGTTGATTAGATATGTAGAAGCTAAGAGATATCCCAACCCCAGGTTTATTATAAACGCAGAACTATTCACTAAAAACTCCTAAAATAACAGAGGAAGAGATTGCCATCCCAATATGTGCAAAAACAGAGGACCTCAAAAAATATGATGAGCTAGACATGGTGGTACATGCCTATAATCTCAGAAGCTCAGGAGGCTTAGACAGGAGGATCACAAGTTTTAGGCCAGACTCAGCAACTTAGTGAGGACCTAAGCAACAGGGCCAGTTACCTGTTACCTTCATGAGACTTACCTCACAGGTAAAGACGTACACAGAAGGTAAGTTTAAAAAAGGCAAGCAGGAATAGCTATTCTTACTTCCAAAAAAGCAGGTTTTAGAATGAAATTAATCACAAGAAACAAATGATGTCACCTCACATTGGTAAAAAAGAACACTTAAATAAGTTATAAGAATAGTAAATATTTATGCTCTAAATGCCAGTGAGCCTAATTCCAAATGCAAACCCTTCTCAAAATATTGACTTGTAATATAATACACTAATATAATACTACTTGGAAATTTCAACAAAGCAAAACTGTCTACATTCTTTTATAAATGGTATTAATCTCAGTAATGCACTTTTCTTTCAATATGCAAAAACAATTAATGCAATGTGCTATATTAGTAGCATAAAACACAAAGCCACATGAATCTCAAAAGATGCTAAATAAGTACTTAACCTATAATTCAAAACCCATTCAAGCAAGGTGTGAGAGAACATACCTGTAATTACAGTAACTCAGGAGGCTGAAGCAGAAGGATCACAATTTTGATGCCAGACTCAGCAACTCAGTGAGATTCTCAGCAAGGCCCTGTCTCAAAACAAAAAGTTAAATATACAATGTAGCTCAGAGGTAAAGTGTCCCTGGGTTCAATCCCCAGAAAAGCAAAAAAACAAAGCATTCATGATAAAATCTTGCAATATATTAGTCATAAAATATCTCCAACAAAACAAGGATCCATGAAAAATTGAGTTTTCCTGAAAGGCTGAGTAATTTCCCCAAGTTTAGACACAAAACAAGGATGTCCACTCTTACCACTTCTACTCAAAATTGTGCCAGAGGTAGTGATCACAGCAATTTGGCTAGGAAAAAAAAATTGGACATTCAATTTAGAAACAATGCCATATTATTCTCTGTTTATAAATTACATAAATCTTGTATACAGAAACAACTAGTTATTCTAATTTATTAGACATTGCATTAAAGATCACTAAGGTTGCCTAATTTCAACCTAGAAAGATCAATATCATTTCTATGTACTATCAATTAATATCTAAAATGAAACTCAGAATTCCACTTAACATATCAACATATTTATGAATAAATTTAACAAGGAAAGTGTAAGATGTGTACACTGAATATTAGACTTATTAAATGAAATTAGTAAAATCTTACACAAATGGACTATATGATACTAATCGCTTAGAAAGCTTGATAACATGATAATACTTTTCAAGTTAATGTATAGACTATTATGTACCATAATACAATCCTTGGTGACATTTACTTGCCCAAGTTGATTCTAAAATTCATACATATATGCAATATATCCATAAGCCAAAACAATTTTGAGAGAGAATAAGATAGTTGGCATAGTATATTTATACTTCCTAATTTCAAAATTCAACAGTGGTACTAATCACAATTTGTTGTACAAGAATAAGGAGAGACATATAAATCAATGGAATATAATAGAGTGTTCCAAAAGTAACTTTTAAATTTATGGTAAACTGAATTTATAAGGTTTTCAAGACAATTCAGTGTGGAGAATATTTTTCAATAAACACTACTGAGACAATTGTATGTTCCCATGGAATTTGGCCTTTTATCTCATATCATCTACAGAGTTGACTAAAAACTAATCATATATCTAAATTTAAGTGTTAAATAGGCCAAACCCATACATGAGAACACAAGAATACATCTTAACAGGACCAGGTAACCCAATGTGTTCTAATGTATGACTCTGAACACAAAAGTAAGATAAGAAAAAAAATCATATGTCTATTAAACTTCACCAGAATTAAGATATTTGTGATTTAAAGAACACCATGAAAAATAAAAGGACACCTGAATGGAGAAATGTTTTCAAGTCGTAAGTCATAGGGTTGATTGGTATAAACATATAACATTATCTAAAAACTAAAAAAATACCAATTAAAGTCAGAAAAATTATCTGAATACATATTTTTCAAAGAAGAAATGACTGCCATTTTCATTAGAGAAATATAAATTAAAATAATGAAACACATTTTAAAATCTAAAATATATTTCTAAATTAAAAAAAACAGATCGAAGAGGCAAAATACTGTGTAATTCTATGATATTCTAAAAAGGGCAAAATTAAAGACACAGTAAAGAGATCAGCAATTTGTAAGGGATTAGGAGAAACAAAGATCAATAGGTTAAGTTCAGGGGAATACTTTATAGTGGTGAAATTTTTCAATTCTTCTCTAAGATATATATATATATATATATCATATACATAATACTGATTTTTTTGGTCATTTGTGACTTATAATTACACATAATAGTGGGGTTCATTTTGACATTCATAAACGAACATATTTTGCTCCATTTCCATCCCTAGTACTTTCCCTTTCCTTTCTCCCCTTCTGCTCACTTTCCCTTTCCTTTCTCCCCTTCTGCTCATCAACTAGTCTTTTTTCTTTTTATTTATTGTTTTTATAAAAGTGAAAGGAAAAACCATGGAAAGAAATTAAACAAATTATGTTTTGAGTATGATTGCAACAAATTCTACTTTTATGTATAATAATAATATATCAATTAAAAACAGAATTTATCAGGTGTAGTGGTCCATGCCTATAACTTCAGTACCCAGTGAAATATTTTGAAGTTGTCTTCCAAAAGCTCATTTGTGAGACAATACAAAAATATTGAGAGGTGAAATGATTGGGTTATGAGAGTCTTAACCCAATTAGTGAAATAATCCCCTAATGGGGATTAACTGAGTTTAACTGAATATGGGTAGGGTGTGGCTGGATTAGGTAGGCATTGGGGATGTGCCTTTGGGGTATATATTTTGTATCTAGCAAGTAGAGTCTTTGCTTCCTGATCACCATGTGATCCACTTCCTTCTACCATAATCTTCCACCATGATGTTCTGCCTAACCTCAAGCCTAGAGGAATGGAGCTAGCTGTCTATGGACTGAGACCTCTAAAACTGTGAGCCCCCAAATAAGCTTTTCTTTTTCTAAAATTGCTCTACTCATGTATTTTAGTCACAACAACAAAAAAGGTGATTTAAACACTCAGTTACTTGGAATAGAAATTTTTTAAAAAGGATGGGAGGTAGCTCAGTGGCAGAACACAAGGCCCTGGGTTCAATCCACAGTACTCATAACAAAACTATGAAAAACAAAAATCTCCAGATATTTATTAAACATAGATTTTACTTATACATATGTAAATTACAAACCTTATTTAGTAGTTTAGGGGATCTCAGAGATAAAAGCAGAGAGAATATAGTTTTAATTCAAGCATATAAAACAATCTCACTTGAAAGTTGGGGAAAAAGAAGACTGACCTAAGTAACATAGAAAATAAGTGGATCCAGGTGTGGTGGCACATGCCGGTAATCCTAGCACCTCAGAGACTGAGGTAGAAGGTTACAAATTTGAGGCCAGCCTCAGAAACTTAGTAAGGCCCTATGCAATAGACAGAGCAGATAGTCCTCCCTGATGTGGGAGTCTTTATGTATTTAGCACATGTTCAGCCTGTGTCCAACTCCTAGATCACAACATGGTAGTTGGGGACACTGTGTTCTATGTTTTGCTTTTTTTTTTCCTACCAGGGTTTCTCCACTTATGCACAAAATATGTGTAGCACATATCTGCCCTCTCCTTTCAGATATGTGGTGATTTAAAGTTAATTTTGAGGTTGGTATAAGTAGGGGTTGATCTAAATCACCATACTATCACATCTACTAATTAATGTTAACTATTTATGTATGTAGCGCGTACATACACATACATACATACGTACACACATATACATTTTTCCTGCTCACCTGCTATCATGGCAATACTTTTCCTGTGCTTTGTGTTCGACAATGGGTAATATGATTACAGGATATATTTATCAACAATATGGCCCCCCAAAATACCTTCCTTGGGTTACTAGAAAAATTTAATTTTCAGAGGGCTTTTCTCAAAGCATTAAATGTCAGATAATCTTTTTAAAACAGAAAATGGGAATTCTGTTCTCCAAGAACACACTTCTGAATGCAGAGATGATTTGTTTCCTGACACTGATGTTTCTCAACAGTGGCTTTTAATACACTGAAATCACATCTTCAAAAAAAATTAGTGGGATGTTACAGATATATTTACTGACAATATGTAAAAACAGGGTTTTCAGGGTATGTGAGGCATAGGAACTCATCTTTGAAGAAGTATTACTGATGTTAAAACCAGTCACTTGGTAATGAGGAGCCAGTGAGGAAGAAGGGAAAAGAGTCCCCAGAGCTTGATGAAGTGTCTTCCTGAAGGACTTGTATTTGGAGCAGATGATAATAAGGGAAGGTGCTTTGGTATTCTCTCCCTAAGTATCCACTTAGCACCTGAACCTAATGTTTTTGGTTTATTTCTATTTTAGGGTGGCTTTCTTTTTTCCATCAAAATAATAATATAAAATATTCTTCTCAAATATTTTTAGATTTACAGTAAGTCTCAAGAATTTTTATAGTTTCATATACCTATCAGCTTCGTATACTATTAACATGTTTCATAATGATAGTGTATTTGTGAAAACTTGGAAGTTAATACTTGTTCAAAACTATTAATGGAACTATAGACACTCTTTGTATTTTACCAGGACTTCCACTTAAAGTCATATTCTCATTTCACTATCTATCCAGAATACCTCATGAGAGTTAACTGAAAACTGTACCACTTACTCATTGCTGCATATTGTCACATAGCTTAGGGGCTCGAAGCCTCACAGACATTACTCACAGTTCCTCATGTCAAGAATCCAGATGTAGATAATGGCAGAGACCAAGTCTTCCTGATATCTCAGTGGGAAGAATCCCGTTCCAAGATTACATGATTGTTTTTAGGAGACAATGCTGCACCAGTTGTGAAGACTTCACAGCCTTTAAAGAATTAATAATAACCCATTATATAGTCTTCAAAGAACTGGACCCTGAACAATGGAAAAAACACTTCTTGAAACATTCTATGAGGCCAATTTACCCTGATATCACAAATAGTAAGAGTTTACCAAAAAATGATGTTATAGATCAATATGCTTTATAAACATAAGAGGGAAAGTCCTTAAATAAATACCACCAAAACAAATAAGCACATGTAAACTATTATTAATTATGATAAAATGTAATTATCTCAGTAGTGAAAGTTTGGCTCAACATAGAAAATAATTTAATACAAAATATTAATAGGACAAAGGAAAAAAAAACAAATGACCATCTGTAGAAATACACAATAATTATTTTGACAAAAACCAAAATACATTCATGTTATTAACACCCAATAAACTAGGCATAGAAGAGAAATTTCTTCACCTAAAAAGGCAATCTATGAAAAGCTCATATAATAGAGCATCATGAAAGTCTCAGTAATTTCCCTTAGATTATGTATGATAAGAATGTGCACTCTTGCCATTTCTCTTCAACATTAATTTACTGGATGATGTAGCCATTGCAGTCAGTTTAGAAAAATAAATGTTATGGTTTGGATACCTAACATCTCCTGAAAAGCTCATATGTTAGGCAATCCAGAAATGTTTAGTTGTGACATGATTAGATTATGAGAGCGGTAACCTCATCAGTGGATTAATCTGTTTGATAGATTAGTAACTTAAATAAACTATTGGGTGGTAACTATATAGATGGAGTATGGCCTCTAACTATGTCTTATTTCTGGTCTCCCCCCCCCCCGCTCTCTCCTTCTTGGACGTCATTAATTCTGTTTCTTGGACATCCTTAGCTGAGTAGCTTTCCTCTGTGATATCCTTCTACCATGATGCTATACCTCACCTCAGGCCTAGAGCAATGAAGTTGGCTAACTATAGACTGAGACATCTGAAACCTTGAGCTCCCCCAAATCCTTTCCTCCTATAAGTTGTGCCCGTGAGGTACTGTGGATATAGTGACAAAAATCTAACACAATAAAATATGAGACATACAGTTTAGAAAGGAAAAAGTGAAACTACCTAAATTTGCAAATGGCATGCGTATATAAAATCCTAAGTTATCACTAAATAAGATTAGAATATAAAAACAAGCTCAGTAAATTATTCAGTATAAATATGGTCAGTACAAAATTAATTGCATTTCTATATAATAGCTATTAATTAATCTAACAATGAAGGCTAACTCATATATGGAAGTAAAAAAGTTGATCACATAAAAATAGAATGTAAAATGATGGTCTCTAGAGGTTAGGAATTGTAGCAGGTTGCAGAGACAGAGAAGGGTTGTTTAACAATTACCAAAATACTCCTTAGATAGGAGTAATAAGTTCTACTCATCTATAGCACAGTAGGGGGACTATAATTTATGACAATTCAATATCTCAAAAAAAGGAAAAGAGGGCTGTTGGATGGTCTCCAACACTAAGAAATATTAATTACACTGATTTGATCATTACATGTTTTATACATGATCAAATTATCTCATCAAACCCATAAATATGTACAATTAATATGCGATAATTAAAAATTAAAAACAGCAAATAATTTCATTACTAATATTATAAAAGGAATACATACTTAGGCATACATTCAACAAAGTATGTATGAGGTATGTTCACTGAAAACTGCAAAAACCTATTAAAGAAATTAAGTAAATCCAACACAAATATTAACAAAATTCATTATCATCACTCAGTAGGTTTAATATTGTTATGATGGCAATACTTTCCAAATGGATCTATAGATTCAATATCATTCTTATGAAAATTCTTGCTTCTTTAAAAAGTTTTTCAGTAGTTGACAAAATTATTCTGAAAGTCTCATGGAAATAACTTTCTCTAGAACTATCATACCATCTTAGAACAAAATTGGAGTACTTAATTTGTTAAATATCCTAATATCTGAACTTACTATAGTCTTACACTAAACAGACATTACAGTATTGGTATAGCAAATAATATTTCAATGAAATCAAGTTGAGTGTCCAAAAAGTATTCCCTACATTTCTAGTGAACCAATTTAATAAGATTGCCTAGAAAATTCAATATGAAAAATTACTTTTTTCAACAAATGTTGCCTAGACATGCTATTATTAACATACATGTTATACTCTTTGCTTACTCTGTATATATATTGAACTTTTAACAGGTAATAAACTTAAAAGCAATACCTTAAATAAATGGAGAAGATGACTGAAAGGAGCTTGGCAGTGATTCCTGGTCTCCTCACAACACAAAAAGGAGGCAGTAAAGGAAAAGCAAAATTGAAAGGTGGTGTGACAGATACCAGACTTGATTATAAAATGAAGATATAAGAACAATGATGAAAAACCAAAGCCTATGGAAAGGGTTGATTTTACTATACTTTGTACCTTTCTAAACTCTGTAGGAATATAGCTACACCACTTAACTGCTAGTATAAATTATACATTACTATGCCACTTAACTGCTGACTAAACTAAAATCTTATTGATTTAATTCTTAGAACTTTAGCTGTTAGGGAGATGAACTCAAGTCATCTTGAGTTATTGCTCCCTATGGTGAAGGCCATTTCACAGTGACACAGGTGTTTAATGTCTTTGTTCTACACCTGGGAACTACTTATCGTAAATTCCCTGTGCATGGTCTTTGGTCATGTAGACCAAGAACCCAAGCCCACCAATGTTGTAATGGTTAAGAAATGATGTCAAATTTCCTATAAAAGCCCCATGTTACCTCAGCTCAGGGCCCAGATCTTCAGAGCACCACCTCATCTGGGTCTGCCAGTATAAAAAACCCAGATTCTCCAACCCTCTGAGTGATGCTTGGTCTCTTGTTAAGTGTAACTGCCATACCATTTTCCAGAGGTCCCAGTGGGATTCCAACTATTCAGGTCCTTGGAACTGCCATTTGATTTGATGGCAGAGAGGGAGCGCCAGAACTGACAGAAGAGTGCACACCACCTGAAGACTTTTCTGGGTTCCTTTAGGCTGATGCTCCAGTTCCCCCAGAATGGCTGAACCCCAACTAGAACTCAGAGGAAGGACAGACCAACTCACCAGGATCCACTGACCACAGGAAAAGGTAGGTTCCAGGACCCAAGTCAGGTGTATCCCTCTGGATAGAAAGAGAGTCTTATCACCTCTCAGAGCATCATAAGTATGCTCCATGACAATTTGGAGTGGAAACTGCAGCTGCACAGGAAAGGAAGGGGCTAAGGTAGTAGCTTAGTAAGCTCCAAGGCAGTTCAGAGCGGAAACTACAGCTCTAAACGGGAAGGTGGGGGGCATGGAACACACAGCTTGAATATAGGCTGAGCTCCCAGGAAAGAGGAGAAGCAAGAAAAGCAATGTTAAACTTCTTGCAAGTTTTATTTTTCTTAAAAACCCCTTTTCTAAGGACTTCACATGTTTAAATATCCGGGCTGACTCTATAATCGGATCCAACTGTGGTCTGATAAAGTTATTTTATGCATGCCCCTTCTAGAGTAATAATAACCATGTTAACTTTTTGTCTTCATCTTTTTCTGAGCTCAATTTTTTATGATAAATTCACCTTTTCTCCTGAACCAATTAGTCCTATTTTGTCTATTTATTGCCCTCTGTTTTTCTTTCTGCTGTCTTTATTCAGAGGCCAGCTGTTCAAGCTCTCAAATACACTAGAAAAAGAAGTCATCTTCTCCTTTGAAGAGTCCTAGGCAGGAAAATAAACAGTAGTGATGGTGGCAGTAAATCTGCCTCCTCAAGGAGGCAAGGCCAGCTGAACCTTTGACTTCAACATCCACCATGACTAACAAAACTTCATTCCCAATGTTTCAAACTTCACAAGGTTCTATTTTAATTTCTAAAGGGCTAAATCTGACAGTCTATTTATTATAATAAATCCTTATAACTCTTTTTTATCCCACCTGTGGAAGTCATACAGGCAAAAAGCAATAAAGTCTTTGTTTTCTGCCGATTTTCATGTACATGTGAGCACACTGGTATATTGTATCTGTGTCTACATGTGTGCTTGAAAAACACCAAAAATTGACATTTGAGAGCAGTCATAAGGGGCTGGGGTTGTGGCTCAGGGGTAGAGAGCTCACTTTGCATGTGCCAGGCCCTGGGTTCGATCCTCAGCACCATATAAATATAAATAAACGAAACAGAGGTACTGTGTCCAACTACAACTAAAAAATAAATATTTTAAAAAAATAAAGAGTGCTCATAAAATTAAAAGAATGGATACAAATACCTTTCATTTCACATAAATTAAAGTGATTAAAGAGATAAAAATTTAAAAATGTTGTTGAATTTACTAATCCACACATTTTATCCTAGGTGATCAGCTAATGAAGGGTGTTGTTTTCTATAAAATGTTTAATGTCAATTGCTTCTAGGATTTTTCTTCAACATAAAATTGGCTTAAAATGGTAACTAAACTTGGTTTTCATGAGTAACCTAAGTTAAAATTGCACAAATTAGAATAAGTGGAGTGCCTGGTATATGGCTTAGTGGTAAAGCATGTCCTGAGTTAGATCCAGAATATCACCAAAAAAAGAAAAAAAGATTTTAAAGTCAGTGAGAACAGGCCATCCATTGAAGGATACTATATCTAAGTGGTATAATGGAGGATGACACGACTGTTTTCTTTAACTGTATTTTTCAATCTTTACATAATGATCATATGTTTGTAACATTTTGGACATTTTTAAATTGCATATATAGCACCAAAAAAGCTAAAGACAAGTATTAAGTAATAAATTCATAAAAATTATTCTAAAACAATGGGAAAATCAGATTTAACACAAAAAGGATACACATTTGTAATTTTTAAAACATTGTTGATCACTGGAAAGTTTAAGATTGCTTTGTTTCTGGGTCTACACTAAAAGCAAGATGATTAAAATTCTACTTTCATGTATTGTTCTATGCAAGGATAAAAGGACAAAAAACTAAAAAGATGATCTTCTTGGTTATTCGGAACCAAGGAGTGTTCAATATTCTGACTTAAACTTTACTCCTCCTAAAGGCCCATACTCCTAGACTTCTGACTTTAGGAATGTGGCCAACAATGATGGTAAGAAGAATCTGAGCCAGCTGCAGTAGCTTATTCCTCTACCTGCCCTGACTTTGCATGTGCAACTTTGTCTGTTTTAAAGGTTCCCATCTGTCAGCCATCTTTTTGATGATCCTCTTGTCTGCCTTCTTTTTATATCTGTTACTAGTTCTTTAACACTTGGACCATACTACATTGATCTTACTGGTAGTCTCTGGGAAAGAAAAATCTTGGCTGAATGGGCCACCCATATGTATGGCCCTGTCTAAGAGAAAGATGTTCCACTATAACAATCTAATCGCACCACTGCCCCAAAGAATATTGACATAAATTTTGGAAGACACTCTGTTTTAAGAAGATGGAATTGAGAGTCTGGAAGAATTAAGTACCAAATTTCACGTCCACTGGTAAGAACAGGAGAGAGGCATCATGCCAGGTTCCACACAGGTTGCCATTACTCCACTGAGACATGAGTTGAAGATATCTGGAAGTAGTCTAAAACAAAAGAGCAAAGACACAAGGAGAGGTCATTTAAACAAACTTGACTTTCAACCATTTTATTTAATCCCTGACTGCATAAAGATAGAGGACCTTATAATAAATGACTATTTTGCAACAAGACCAAAGATGAAGAGAAAACTTTTAGGTATCAAGTAAAAATAGGTTATAAGATTAAACCATCTCATTTGGACAACAATCTGTCATTTCTTTGTAATCTACATTTGGCACATGAAGTCATCAAATTATAAAATAATGCAGACAGCAATTTCAATTTATGAGAGCAGAACACAGTTATCATGCAAAGAAAGAGAAACCAGAAAAGCTTATATTTTTTATTTGTTTCTCTAGAAAACCTCCAGTTTACATTGTTGATTATCTTGTCTCCATCCTTCATCATAGAAATGCCACTTCTAAGTACTATGTATAGAATACAAGGTTGCTCTTTACATGTAGTGACATTATTTAATTGGTGCCATGCTCTAATACTAAGGATGAGTGGAACATTTTCAGATTTTATTTTAACTAATATCTGGCCTTAAAATTATCTTTATACAATATTGAATTCCAGAGGCAATAGCTGCAGCCATCTTGGTAAAACAAGTTACCACGATTAATACACAGTCGAACTACATATAAAATATCACTATTAATGAATTAATGTCTCCATCCCACCAGATTAGCTTTTAGAACATGCTATTGACCATTTTATTACCTGCACCCAAGACCCATGCTCTTGAGTCTCAGAGATGCACTTGTAGAAATGTTCCTTCACAGAAGAATGTGCCCCTCTCTACACAGTCATGCTGACATTATTTTATCCACACTGAAGGCTCTAAACAACTCCTAGACACCTTTTGGAGTCCTGAATTGTTTCTGGACTGTTTTGTTTTTGTCTCTCTTGATGGTTTCAGGCGAAGAAATCCCTGTTCAACACCAGTTGAGGAATTCCATCTTCATTAACCAGGACACTCAACATCTATTCATACTTAAACTATGTGGAGGACTGTCAAGGGTTCATCCCTAAATCATGGATCAAGTCAATAATATGAAGATGGATAAGTTGTTTACTAATCAACAAAATGGAAATCTGAAAAAGTCACAAGCATGAAAACTTTCTAAGAATATGATAGAGGATAAAAGACCACAATTCTTCTTCCATAAGTCAGTGTTACAATAATATGTGCTGCCTGAAATACATAAATGTACCCAATTTAAATGTTTTTATTTTGCTGAGAACTGAAAATAATTTCAGGTAATTGCTGATTAAAATGTAGGAAAATACTGCATACATTACAAGTGATTAGCATAAGGAAATATCACATGGATGTTTACAGAAATGAGATGGATGAAATTATGAACTGTAGATAACGTCTGTATCTTGTATGGAGGAATATAATGAGGCTTACATCTGCATAGTAATGAAGTTGCTGGTCTCTGCATTCAGACTGGGAAAATTAGTGTTCTGTCTACACAAAGTAATGACTTTGTAAACATACTAATAGGAAAAATTAAGTCATAAAATGAAAACATTCACATATTTTTTTTAGCATGAGTCTGAGCAAATTTTGCCTTTTTAGCTCCCAGAGTAGTTTGTCTTTTTCCTTAAATGCACTTAACAAATCCAAACTCTATAATAAAATCTCAAAATAATTTAGGCATAGAAGGAACTTTCTTTACCTAAAATGTCACACACAAAAAATCTCATATAAAATCATTTGTTATCTGAAAAAAATCAAAATTTTCCTCAATTTAGAAACAAGTCAAGATTGTCCACTTTTACCATTTTAATATTTACTGGAAGATGATGTCAGGACAATGACACTAGAAAAAAATGAATATCAGACATAAAGATTAGAAAGAATGTCAAACTTTCTTTGCAAATGACATTATTCTATATTTACAATAATAAGGACATTAATGAATGCAATTAGAAGTAAAAATGAGTCTAATAATGTTTCAGGACAGATAAAAACACATAAACCCATTGCATTTCTATACAGTAGCAACAAATGATCTAAAAAGGAAATCCCAAAACTATTCTTCCTTAAATAGCATTGTAAAAGTAATAAATTTGGGAATAAATTTAATAAAATAAGTATAGTTTATAGACAATGAACTAAACTTATTGAAATTTATTAAATACTAATTATAAATGGAAATATTTGATGTTCATTAATTAGAAGGCATATTATTGTTAAGATAGTAATAACTTCCAAGTGGTTCTATAAATTTAATGCAATCCATATTTAAATCCAAGAGGGCATTCTTTTTTTTTTTTACTAAATTGATAATCTGTTTATAAAATTATAATATAAATGTAATATATCCAGACCAGAAAAAATAATCTTGAGAAAGAATAACAAAGTTAGCATGGTAATCTCATAGGTTCTGATTTTAAAAATTACTTTAAAGGCATAGTATTAAAGTCTTATGGGGCTGTTGTAAGGATAGACATTTATACACCTAACACACAAATACTATTGCTAAATAGGAATATTATGTAGAGAAAAAGAAATATATCTTTGTGGCCTTCAGTTAAAAAATATCCTCTAAGATAAACATTAAAACAGTAAATGGACAAGAAACAGGAGAAAAATATAGATATATTGAAATTTATCACAATTAAGGATTATATGATCAAAAAACTTTTATAAAAGACACCTCAAAAGAATAGGAGAAAATCTTTCCAAGTCATATAGCTACCATGGGTCTATTTTCCAGAATCCATAAACATAACTTACAAATCAAAACTAAAAAGGAAAATATCACAATTGAAAAATAAATTATTTGAATAAACTATTTTGCAAAAAGTTATACAATGTGCACACAAAGCCACTAAAAATATTTTGTCTTGGGGAAATGCAAATCTAAATCAATATCAGACTTGCTTTATAAATATGAAAGGCATGTCACTAAATGAAAAAAAAATGAAAGAAAAAAATATTTCATAATTCAATTTATATGACACTTTGGAAAAGTATAGATATAGTAAAAAGATTAGTAATTGGAAAAGAGTAAGATTGAATTTGTGACTACAGGAAATTGCTTTAGGGCAATTAATTCCCTATAGTAACTTAATGATGAATTCATAATTATGATTTTCAAATCCTACTTTAACAAAACATGAACTTCAAATATATAAAAACTAAAAATATGTATATATCTAACAAGAGAGTGTCAAACTATATGTGGCAGAAACTGATAGAAGAACAAAGAGAAAAAGATGAATGCACTATTATATTTGGAAATACCGACACCCTCTACCAGGAGTGGATAAATCTAGGAGGCATATTTTCAGTAAAGATACATTTGAAACCAATAGTACTATCAATCAGTAGGATATAATTGAAAACCACAAGTATCTTCGACAATCACATACATACTCTACTTACTGTTACATGGAACATCCATCAAGATAGACTACATTCTGATCCAAATAACATATTCAGAAGAATGGAGATCATATCCTGTATGCTCTTAGACCACAATGGACTTAAGTTACAAATCAAAGAGTAAGCAAAAAGATAACTGAAAAATCTCAAAATGCATGAGGATTAAATGATGCATTTTCAAATAACATGTTGATGAAGGAAAACACCTTAAGAGAAAACAAAATTTGAAGTGAATGAAAATAAAACACAAGTCTTCAAAATTTAATACAAAAAAAAAAAACAGAACTGGGAGGCTGGGGTTGTGGCTAAGCAGTAGAGCATGTACAAGGTACTGGGTTTGATCCTCAGCACCACATAAAAATAAATAAATAAAATAAAGGAATTGTGTCCAACTACAACTAAAAAGAACATTAAAAAAACAGAACTGGGAAGGAAATGCATGGCGCTGAATGTATATATTAGCAAAGATATAAGAGCTAAGTAAATCATCTAAATTTCAATCTTTGGAATACAGAAAAAGAAGAACAATAAAATTAAATCCAAAATAAATAGAAGATATATTATTTTAAAAATCATAAAAGTAATAATTAAAGCAATTAGAATCGCTGAATGAATATTGATAACTTACTGGTTCCCAGAACATGAAATGTCTAAAATTGTGAGGGTACTCACAATATTCTAAACTATATTCTTGCTCTACATTTTAAATGACAACATAATGATTTTTAGAAATGAGCAAAAGCACACTAACACAGGGAAAGTTTACAACTTTACTAAATTGCATAGTTTAAAACTGCTACAAGAAGGCTGGGGATGGAACTGGGGTTGTAGCTCAGTGATAGAGCACTTGCCTAACTCATGTAAGGCACTGGGTTCAATCCTCAGCACCACATAAAAATAAATAAATAAAATAAAGGTATTGTGTCCGTGTATAACTATTTTTTTTTAAAATGAGAGCTGGGGATGTAGCTCAATGTTAGTGAATGTTAAAGCACTTGCCTAGCATGCATGAGGCCCTGTGTTCAATCCCCAGCACCACAATCTCTCTATATTATATATGTTTAAATATATAATAATAAATAAACCTTAAATTGCATAAGAATAGATTTTAATCTCATCACCACAAGGTATATAAATTGGTGAGGTGCTCTATACAATAATTAGCTTAAATAAAACGTAATGCAATGTATATATATATATATATGTCAAAGCATAAATTTTACACCATAAACACAATTATTATTTGTCAACTAAAATTACATAGATAAATTTGGCGAATTATGAATAATTAAGAAATTCAAGTACATAAATACGTACGCAATGTAAGAGACCACGTGACAGAAAGAATGTCTACAAAATAGCAGCAACAGTCTGAGAAACAAGAAAATTAATGAGGTTTGTATACGAACACCGCATTACACATAAGGTCATGCAGATACACACAGGAGAAGATGTGTCTGTCTGCAGGGAAAGCCAGCCAGCAGCCCCTACTCCCTACCTCCAATCCAGCGCCATCATCCTCCGCATCTCAGAGATTCCGGTGGCTCCGCCACCTCCTGAGGCTTTGCTGCCACTCCTCCTTTGCTGGCGGGGGTTCCTTTGGCGCGCAGCTGCGGAACTCCTTTAATCCCTTTTCCGGTCTGACTGCTCAAAGCTTCCGATGTGTGGCATGCTGGATGCGGTTGAGTAGGGTCCTGAATTTTCTTATCCACGAATCCCACCTACCTCTTAAGAAGGACCCAAGGTACAAGAACCTGCAGTCCAGGTAGGGACATCCAAGATCGCTGGGACTACTGATTCATGAGCCTAGGATTTCTCTCTGCCCCTCTGTCCCTTTACTCCTGACATAAAAAAGACTATTTTATATGTACATAAATAAACCAGTAAAAATAGAGATCTCAAAAACAGGAACATGTGTGTTTGTGTGTGTGTGTGTGTGTGTGTATACACATATATATATATATATATATGCAAATTGATAAAAAGATCAATGAGGTGAGGATGGATTTGTGTGTGTTGTAGGAAGTTGAATATCCATTTGAGAATAAAAATCTAAACTTTACCCTTATATTAAACATGAAATTAATTTCAGACAGATCATACACCTAAATATAGAAAATAATTTAATATAACATTTATTATATATAAAATAACTTCAGGATTAGGGTATTTTTTAAATAGATCTGCAAAGTATTTGCCACTTAGAAAACATACAGCTTGTTTGTGGTGCATTGGAGGCATGAGCTCTACCACTGAGTTACACCCTCAACACCAAATACTCTAATAGTTAAAATATATAGGGACTCAGACAACAGACACAGTCAAGCTCAAGATTCTTTTCTTTCAGATGTTCTCTCAGATACAGAACTGGACCATAAGAGTGGAGATAGTACCTGCATCTTGAGATGCTCTATGAGTAAACTAATAATATATAAAATCTGTAGACTAATCCCCGGTCTATACTGACCATTAAGCCAGTATCTGCAAATACTAACAGGTTTTCTAATAATTGCGATATGCAAGTTATTTGTTCCAATTTTAAAATTAATCATGTTATAGCTGATGAACACATTGAGACAAGAAAAAACTCATAATTCATAATTTAAGATGTATGAAATTGTACCTATTCACCACCAAGGTCAATTAATTTAACACCAAGTTCTGCTCTCATATACATGAGCCATTTTTCATTGATCGCTGTCTTCTATTCAGGCTGGAATGTGGTGGCAGGGTTTTTGTCTCATGATGTGGTCTGACTCTGGCATCTTTCTGAGAATTCCATTGGTCATGCCAGCCTCAGTGAAGTCTGGTCACAGGTGGTTTAGTGGGTTATGGGAAATCACATCTTCCATATTAGTGAGTAATATGTGGGAACTGGTTGCTCAGCTCTGTTTTTTTTTTTCCTGAGACTTCATATTAGTAAAGTTGCCTATCTATCAATACTAAACACTCAGAGTCCACTGAACCTTATTAGCCATTCTGAGATGAGTAACTACTCATTCAATTCTACTTTCTCATTAAGGGCCTGAATATGTACATTTTTTTATATGTCCCCCTATTTTCTTCCTTTTTAAAGCATCTGTGCATGTAAAATAACAATAACAACATAACAAAACTATTCCCTTTAATAAAGCACCCCATTTCCCATTATATTTCCCTATATACTAGTTAATTACAAGCTAATGGGACACTGCCCATCTCAATTTACTCCATTCTTTCTCTGGCTCTCCATTGTAGAATTTCTTTCAAATGAAGTTTCACTAACCCTTACTGACTTCTCATCAGGTTAGTCGCAGAAGGTTGAGGCAGGAGGATCGCAAGTTCAAAGCCAACCTCAGCAATAGTGAGGTGCTATGTAACTCAGTAAGACCCTGTCTCTAAGTAAAATACAAAATGGGGCTGAGGATGTGGCTCAGGGGTCGAGTGATCCTGAGTTCAATCCCCTGTACCAAAACAAAAACAAAAACAAAAACCACTTGTGTATCACGATTCTAATTTCTTTTCAGTTTTGAGACCCCTTTTCCCACGCTATCAAATCTAAAAATTGGAAAAGTCAGTTTCAAATATTTCCATTGTGCTAGAACAATGCCTAATATCACAGTTCAAATAATAGAAGTACTCCAATCGAAGTTAATACATTAGGATCTGTCATATTCCAAAATCTTCATGCCCTGGACACTGTTGGCCTACCCAGATGAAACTGGTGTATCCATGGGTGAAGAATGCTATTATTATATAAATTGCTTTGAACAAATAATGTCTAATCTGTACCTTTTAAAGGAAAAGATAAAACCTATCATATAAATAGGTTTCAACCATTTTATTGTACTGACCCATTCCCAAGGATGGGAAAGTGATCTAAAAGAGCATGGGGAAAATGTGTTTGATTTGTTCTTTCTGCTTATTCATTCTCATTCTGATCTGCATTCTTTAGCTTTGAAGATCTCTTACTATTCAGATACTAAATTTACTCTTTTTTCTCCACAGGCACCAAGTCAGCTTTAACATGTGAAAATTCTATGGAAATTCCAGAAATAGCATGCAGGAATCAAAAAATACATAACTCCTGTTTATTGACTTTTTTAAGTTATAGGCACTTGCAAAACAGCAGGTACAAGATCATTCTTACATCCATTTTGTTTCTTAAAGGCAGGAGATGTTAAGATGTTAAGGGTGCCCGTCTTGTGCTAGAATGGAATCACCATTCTTATCCTAAAGTACAGAAAGTCCAGACTTAGAGGACTCTGAACATACCTTAAGATTACTCTTATGTTTTAACCCTCCATACATATAAAATGGATTAACATTATGACTGAAGATATTTATTTCAGAAATGCAAATTTGCAACATGTTTTAAAAAATAGAGCATAATATTCTATATTAATAGAGTAAACAACAACCAGATGAACACCTCAAAGATGTACAAAACTACTTAACATAGGCAAAATTCATTTATGATAAAAAGCACTGAAGAAATTAGACATAGAAGAAAAATTTCTTAACCTAAAATTAGAATCCACCAAAAAAAATTCTTATAAAACCACATTAGGGGCTGGGGATGTGGCTCAAGTGGTAACATGCTCACCTGGCATGCACGGGGCGCTGGGTTCGATCCTCAGCACCATATAAAAATAAAGAAAGATGTTGGTGTCCACCGAAAACTGAAAAATAAATATTAAAAAATTCTCTCTCTCTCTCTTTAAAAAAAAAAAAACACATTAGTGTGAATGTCTCAGCAATTTTCCCAAGATTAGAAAATACAAAGATATGCACAGTAACTCCTCTGTTACTTCTATTAGTGTAGGTTGTAATCAGGGCAGTTAGGCAAGAAAATTACATACTTAATATTCACATTGGAAAGGAAGAAGTCAAACTATTTGTCTTCACATTATATGATATTTTATAGAGAGTATTATATAGTCTGCTAAAATAATTCAAAATAAAATCAAGATCAGTCATGTTGCAGTACGTAATATGCAGAAGTCAATTTCACACTATCGATCAGTAATAATAAAACTCAGAAAACTAGATATATTAAAAAATATACTTATGAAGAAATTTAGTAAGTGGAAGCTATATAGACTGAAACCTACAAAATATTTTGAAATTAAATAAATTTAAAATAGGAAAAATTTCCATGTTTGTTGATCAGAAAATTTAAATATTAACATAGTGATACTTTCCAAATTTATATATATAGTTCAATGAAATCTATATAGAAATTATATCTTCCTTTTTAAATTTCATAGTTTTGCAGTAATTGGCAAACTACTTTTAAAATTCATAAGGAAATTGAAATGATCTAAAATAACCAAAACACTCTTAAAAAAGAAGAACAAAGTTGGAGTAGTAGATTCATAATTTATGATATAAATATTTACAGACTGAGCATACTCATGAATTTGTATCACTGGTATAAAAATAAACACAAATATCAATGGTATAGAGTTGAATGTCTAATATTAACCCACATATTCATGAAGAACTAGTTTTCAAAGGTGCCAAGACAAGTGGGCATAGTGACGAATGCCAATAATTCAAGCTATTCAGGAGATCAAGACAGGAAGATGGCAAATTTGAGGTTAGCCTGGACAACACAGTAAGGCTTCATCTCTCAGAAACAAAAATAAGCACCCCCCAGAAAAAGGTTGCAAAAACAATTCAATATGGAAAAATACTTTCTTCAACAAATATTGCCGGAACAAGTGAATATCCATATCTACATGCAGTTTGGACTCTTCTCTCGCACCATATATGTAATTAACACAAAGAGATCACACACATACATGTTACAGCTTAAACTCCAAACCCTACAGAACAGAACATACCAACAAATCTTCATGACATACATGAAAAAAAATTCTCACAGATAACAACATAATACAAATGAATGAAGAAAGAGCTTTTGTGATTCTAAGTAAAATATTACAACCTCCCCCAAATGGGAGAAAACATTTGCAAAAGATATAGCTATAGCCCAGAAAATATAAAACGCTCCAACAATTCATGAATAAAGTGAAATATTCTAATTTAAAGTGAGTGGAATGTTTTTCAAAGAATATGTAGATGATGCCTGATAAATACAGGAAAAGAGGCTCAACAACTTTGTTAGTGAAATGCATATCCAAACCATCATGATATAAACTTCATAAAAATTAGTGGTATATACTTAACTGAATAAAGCCAACTGGAAAAAAAACTATATAGTGTGTAAGTCCATTTACAACACTCTGAAGAAGGTGAATTTATAGAGATGATGAAAAGATTAATGGTTACTAGGGACTTGGGAGAGACAAAGTTTGAAAAGGTGAAATACAGATTTCCTTCTGACAGTGAAATTATTCTGATGTTAATGGTGTGTTAATGATACTATTTTTCAAATTTACAGTCCCTTATATCAAAAAGAATAAACCTTAACGTATATAAATTTAAAACTAGTTAATAGGTTAGAGGACCACAGGGAGAAATGCATAGAACATATAACTGTGTAACAAATATACATAATAAGCTAAGGGAAGGAAGTGAAAGGTAAGGAGCTGACCTAAATAATAGGAAGTATGTGGAGATTCTAAGGTTAAATTCCAAAGGAGTCATATGTAAGCATCACCCTTTTGTTGGTAAAGTTGTTTCAGTGGGGGTATGAATTAAAAATTTTGAAACCTCTACCAGTGTTTGGGCAGAATGATCAAATAAATCAAATTACTCTTTTAGAGTGAAAGGTTTTGCACAAAGAAGTAGACATGATTAGACTGATTCACAAGGTGTTAGATTAGATTCAGGTCATTCTGGGAATATTAGTAGGAATTTATATTTAACTATATATGCTGACAGGGGTAAATGTAGAAATATTTAGATGAGTATTTGTTGAAGTTACTGTATGCATATATTTCTTTGTGCTGTGTCAGCTGATGAAGCTTAGAATGAATAGACACTGGAGTGTCAGTGACTACACCTGGTACCCAGGCATTTATTTCTGTATTTACTATCATATGTGACTAGGACCCTAAGAAGAAATGATAAATGCTGGAATGGGTTAGGAATCACCAAATTATTCTGGATTACATTACAGTTGCAAGAGTAAAACTAAACAATAATGCAACCAACCAATCAGCCAGACATACAAAATCACACTACAATCTCAGTACAGAAATCAACTATAAACCTTTCTAATGTCTATCATTGTAAACACTTGAACAACAAAATAAACTTACATAAAACATAGTATAAGCATGGGAAAAACATTCCAGAAATCCCAAATTGGGAATGCCAAATGTTAAAACAAACAAGGATTGTCTGAGGAATTGTCACAGCCCAAAGAAGCCAAAATAGAGAGGGTTTCCAAGTGTGAAATGGTTTCCTAAATAGAATCCTGGAACAGAAAGTGGGCATTCAGTAAAAATTAAGAAAATCTGAATAAAGTCTGGATTTCTGAGAATGGTAACATAATATTTATTCATTAATTGTGATTATGTGCCATGCTAATATAAGAGATTAATGATAAGGAAACATTTGCATATGTAAACTATGATATATCAGCCATTGTTATAAAATGAAAAAGTTATATTTTCAAAAATTTAATGTCAAATTTAATAGAACATTATCAATATTGTTGATGCCCCCATGTGAATTCCTCCTAACATCTCTTCGCTTTGGGGTAAAGATTACTAGTATTTTGAACTATTTGTCCTCTTAATTTTCATTTTTTTTCTGTTTGCATTTCTGAGCCAAGCACATTTTTAATTGTCTTCAAATTTAGATAAATTTGTTATCTAAATTACTCCATATTTATAGTTTAATCTTAGAAAATCAATGGACAAATCCATTTTGTGGGGCACACTAGAAAATACCTAGCTTTTTCTTTTCACAAAGGTTAATGCTATGCAAAATGAGTCAAGAATGAGAAACTGTTTTTGAATGTCAATTCCCTAAATAAATTAATTAAAGGACACTAATAGAATGGATCAAAAATAAGATTTGACTGTCTACAAAAACCTACTTTAATATACAGATATAAAATGAAAGTAAAAGGATGAAGTTAATACACTGTGCTAATACTCATCAAAAGAAAGCAGCTACAGCTATGCTAATTTCTGACTGAACAGAATTTGAAGTAAAATGATCAGGGATAAATAGGAACATTACAAAAGGAAAGAAGGGTCAATTTTCCAAAAGTTATGTAACTATCCTAAACGTGTATGCACCTGAGCATCACATTATATGGGGCAGAAGCTGATAGAACTGTGAGAAGTAGATGAGTCTGCATTTATCACTGAAGAGTTCAACACCCTCTATCAGAAATGGACAGATCTAGTGAGAGAAAATCAGTTAAGGACATAATTGAAAACAGTATCAGTCAATCAACAGGATTCAGTTTCCATGTTTAGAACAAAGTGCAACAACAAGCTAAAAGCCTGCTTCTCTCCAGCCCACATAACACTTACCAAACAGATAATATTCTAGGCCAAACTTGCAATTAGGATATGGAAGTTCCCTCCAAGCCCCATGTGCTGAAGGCTTGGTATTGGGAGGTGCTGTATCCTTTAGGGGGGTGGGGAGTACAGTGGACAGTCTCTAGGAAATTGAGAATGTGCCCCCAAAGAGGACTGTAGAACCTCAGTCCCTTGCTTTTTCTGTCTTTGCTCCCTGGCCATGAGGCGAGTGGTTTGGTTCTGATATACACTTCTGCCATGATTGCTCCTGACCTGTAGGCTAAGAGCCAAAGAACTAATGATCATAGACCAGAATCTCCAGAACTATAAACAAAATAAACCTCTTATCTGCATAAATTTATTATTATATAAGGTATATTACAGTCATGGAAAGCTAATGCAAGGCCTTAAAATCCACCCTGATAAACAATAAAAATCATGGAATTCATACTCTGAGATCACATGGAAAATAATTTAGAAATCAATAACTGAAATATGAATGGAAAAATTCCAAATTTTACATGGAGACTAAACATCATACTTTCAAAAATGACATAATCCAAGGAAGCAATGTCAAGAAAAATACAAAAGTTGTTTGGAATTAAATGAAAATTTAAAAAATCATTTCATTTATCGGATAGAATGAAAGCAGAACTTAGAGGAAAATGTATTGAATGAATAC